AAAAGTATATTATATATATGTATTAGTGTCAATCTATATATTTAGTAGCAGTAACCCTTCATTTTGGATGAAAAATATAGAAATAGAATTAATAATATTTTCTTTCCACTTCCCCTTGGGTGATCTAGTCATGCATCCCAATTTTGAAATCACTATTCTATAGCATTAGGCAATGTATTCCTAACCTGGTTAGTTACAGCAATCACCTGAGGGTGCTAATTAAAAATATAAATCCCATTTGGTCATAGTGGAGAGTATGTTCTATCCCATTTGCCATAGTTCTTACCTTTCCCTATTGTATTTTATCAAGCCCAACTCAATCATTTAAGATATTTGCCAGCTCTTACAGGCATTTAGGTTTTGTTTCTTTGTTTTCTTGCTCATGAGATCAAGTACAAATTCAGATAGAGGTTTGTTGTATACACTCTGGACAGAAATAAAGAAGTTGTGTTGTTTGGTAAGAAGATACCAAGGGTTGATCCGCTTAGGAACCTGAGCAAGGAGATAATAATAATAACATTTGCCACTTACAGAACAATCGCTGTGTGCCAGACACTTTACTATACATTTAACACATATTAGGAAGTCAGATGTAGAAGTCAGGGTGTAGATTTAGGCAGGAGCAGGAACCAAAAGGAAGGGAGTAAACATAAAAAAAATTGAAGGAGCCAAAATAGGATACACTAACATGAGCAATTTGATGTGGCTACTATGGAGGATGTGTGAAGTGAGAAGCAAAGTTTGAAAAGTAGATTGTGGCCAAATCACGTAGACTCTTGAGTGATGTGTTAAGGAATTCTGTGGGTGCTAAGAAGCCATCAAAGGTTCTTGAGAGCCTCCAGATAAAGGTTCTTAAAAATCCAGCACAAGATATTGCTAGAAATCTGCTAGGGAAAAAAACCCAAAAAGGTATGTGTAGAAGGATTATGTGGGAAAGATACTAAGTCATGGTTTATTCCTCAAAGTGAAGGTGACCTTTTGGGAAAGTGGAAGCCCGTTTGGCCAGAGTGGAAATGGAATTGGGAGAAATAGATGATCAAATTTAAACTCTTGGTGTCTGATGTAGCTTGAGACCAAGTTATCCCCAAGTGAAATACACTGACAACATTCATGCCTTTCCCTGATGTTCCCCAGGTCCTCCAAAGGTGCAGGTTTACTCACGGCACCCAGCAGAGGATGGAAAGCCAAATTTCCTGAACTGCTATGTGTCTGGATTTCATCCACCCCAGATTGGTATTGACCTGTTAAAGAATGGAAAGAAGATAGAAAAGGTGGAGCAATCAGACTTGTCTTTCAGCAAGGACTGGTCTTTCAATACCCTGGTCCACACTGAATTCGTCCCCAATGAAAAGGACGTACTTGCCTGCCGAGTGAATCACACCACTCTCGATAAGCCCCGGATCGTTCAGTGGGGTAAGTTTTAAGTTCTTTCCTTAGCTGCTGAAAGTTATATCTGAATAGAGCCATAGCGTAAAGCTGCTTTGATATAAAAAGTGTGCATAGTAGGGTTTTCAGGGAATGTTCTTAAAGCTCTGATTAGTGGTACCTGCTGAGAGACCTCTGCACAGCATGGTCCCTGAACCAATAGTTTCCCTGCAGTGAGAGCAGGGAGCAGCAGCACTTGCATGAATGCACATGCATTCTCAACACTTCCTGCCTGCTGGCTTCCTCTGGCTTTCCTAGCAGCCCCACAGATACTTAGTACCCCTGAGCATCTCCAGAAGGCATAAGCCTTTGTCTGTAAGTCCCACTATCATAGCACCCTCAGATCCTCCTGGACTCTTCCAGTACTCTCCGGTTGGATTGGGATCTGAAGCTAGTAGGCAGGGTTGGGTCCTACTGGGTAGTTGTAAACAGGGTATTCTTGGTTAGAAATAGCAACCTATTCTACCTGCCTTATTTCTAACAGTTTTATACATGTTAGTACATAGTATTTTAAAAATAAAACTTAATGTTTTCCTTTTTCTTTCTCCATTATCTTTTTCATAGATCGAAACCTGTAACCAGCATGATGCAGGTGGGTTTTTGACCTTAAGAAAATGTTTTTTGTTTCACTATCCTGGGGACATAGACAGCTCTAACATGATAACTCTCGTTGTATGGAGGACATTAATCAGGGTAGCATTTCAGCAGGCAAAGAAGAATCCTATAGAGTCACATTCCCTTCTAATGTGTAGTGGCATGAAGAAGTGTGTGGCCTCAGGTATGGCTCTGCCAGCGTCATTGCCCCTCTACAGGGAGGGCAGAGGAGTTGCCAGTGGTGTGGCAGGATAGAGGCAGCTGGTTACCCACACCGCCTACAAGGCTTTCATCTTCTGCCATTTCCATATTGGGCAGCTCTGCTGAGAAGAGGGCCTTCAAAAGTGAACCACTCTCTTCCTTTGTATACAGTTGCTTTATTCTTCAGCCAGAAGGGAGGAGTGACACAGTTCTGCAGATGTCCCATTCCTTCAACCTCTTGTTCAGCCTCAGTGTGTAGGCACTGTATTTGCCTTTTAGAGGCTCCCAGTCTACTAGAGGAGAGAAATGGAAACATTGTTATAACTCGACATAAAGATACTGTAATAGTTTTATCTACAAGGAGCTCTAGAAGCATGAGATGGCTGGGTACAAGTGGCCCACACCTATAATCCCAACACTTTGGGAAGCCAGGCTGGGAGGATGGCTTGAGCCCAGTAGTT